GTCGATCGGGAGACTCATTGCTTCGGCCTTTAGTTGCTAGTTTTTAAGAATTTATTCTCATATTCCCCACAGACGGCACCAACTGTTGAACCAGAAAATTACCACTAGGGATATGATTAACAGTTGTGGGTTTTGGAGAATAAGATCTTTTTATTAATACCTTTAAGACGAAGCGATTACAAGAGATGGCTTAACCGAGAGGTTATGCCGAGATGAAAAGATAGTATTTGCGAGGTGAACAAGAAAGCGTTGGAGTCTCTGGTTTTAGCTCTGCTGCTCTCTAGATTGTATGAGTTGTCCTAAGCCGTTCGTGGAAAACAAAATGGCTCTTGCAGAGATATATCGTATGATATAGTTGGGTACGTCGCATCTGGAAATTGTATCATACGATACATCTCTGCAAGAGCCGTTTTGTTTTCTACGAACAGTTTAGGCTCGCAATATGAGTACGAGAACTCATGGTTATAAGCAAACCCTTCGACGACTTCCTGAGGATCACCGTTCGCGACACTCTTACCCCCGCTAGACAACTCGGCCACCACGTCACGATGACCCGTTGCTTTTGAAGACTTCCCCGAAACATCCTCTCGACAAGGCGGTTTCCTGGCTATCCCTCTGTCCTGACGATCCTCCGGCTCGACGAGACCCTTCTTTTTTCTCTCGTGACTCCGATCCGGCTCGACACCCTTCCCCTTCGCCATGGCTACCTTCTCCACAGCTACCTTTGCCACAGCTGCCTTCTCCGCAGCCACCTTCGCTGCAGCCACCTTTGCTGCAGTTATCTTGGCCATCCCTGGCGGCATCACGTGACCCGGAACTCTCCTAGGTGAAGAAATCGAGTATGTCGGAATCTCCTCAATCATCTTGTCCATTCTCCTCACCCTCTGCGTCGAAAAGTCAACTAAGAAACAATGGCAAGTATTAGCGACCGCTGCAAAAAAAAAGGAAGGAATAGACTACCCACCACGAATTCCACGAGCCAAGTCTCTCCGTGCCCAGCCTCAATGATCGATGACCAACTTTGCGCTCCCAACCGCTTAATCGCTACGAGATCGTCTTTCACACTCGCACGCCCTTGCTTGTCAACTGGATGAGGAACTGCAAAAACAAAAACAACCAAGGGATCAGAGGAGACTCAATAAAACAAACGCAAAGAAAATATCCAAGACTACCAATATTCGCATGCCACTGAATAAAAAAAAATCATAATAGCTTCCTCCCCAGGACGGACCAAAACCACATCCGCTGATACTCGGGCATAAAAGTAATGGTTCATCCAGCTGTGATCTTTGTATGAAGAAGTTTAAACTAGTCTCCTTCTCGGCTTCATCGAAACAGTGACCGTTCCCCGAACTCCCATCGTGTCCCACGAAATAATCGACATTTCCTCAAAAAGACGAAGACTCATACCGATGCCGCTGCTCTCCCCCGCAATTATCGCCCCAACGATATTCCTGATCGCACCTGGACACAGATGCGTGAACGTAATCTTCCTAGCATTGCAGTAATCCACCAATAACCCAGGCAACAGAAATCACAGCTGGCAATGATCAAACCAGTACTCGTAAAGGCAAATGAAACCGACGGGAGAGCTCCAAGGGTGCTCGTGCGGCTCGGAGATCCAAAGATCAAGGTCGGAAACCCCACAGCGCGACTGAATATCTTCCAAGGATTTAGGAGTCGATAGGGACTTTGGGAAGTGGCGAAGACTCTCGTCCAAGTCTCTCTGAAGGACCAACTCCGACTCAATACTAGGATCCCCATTATCGTAATAAGCCTCATCGACACCCATCTCACCACGATCTTCCGTGACAACTCTGCTCATCACGACATCCCCATCGCGACAACCATCAGGGTCTCCCTCATCTTTGTCAATATCTACGAACTTCATCCCGCTCGACGAAGCCGATTCGGCACGACTCGAGGAAGTAGATCTCCTACGACTTGAAGAAGAAGACCCAGTACCACTAGAGGAGGTCGGTCCTCTATAACTCGGAGAAAAAGACAACCCCCCTTGCAGAAACACCGACGAGCTGTCACCCCCCTTCAAAAACTAAATGTACCAACAAACAAGCAACCGGCTAAGTGAATCAACGAAATCTGCGAAGCAAACAACAACTTTGGTTAATCAAGGCAAAAGAAGACCTTAGCGGTCTCATCAAGTCGTAGAAACTCACCAGGGCCGATCCGACGCGATCACAATTTCCCGCCAAACTCCAGTCGAGCTCCCGGCTATGACGAGATGTCGATCTCACGTTCCCTGCCTCGCGCGCTCCCAACTGTCATCACCCGAGCAGCCGGCGTCATCCGAGCAGCCGACGACACCCGAGCAGCCAGCGTCATCCAAGCGGTCGGCGTCATCCAAGCGGCTGGCATTACCGAGCCCCATCAGCCGAGTCCCGCCAAGATGCCGACTCCTGAGCAGGCGACAAGATCCCGAATCCTGCAACGCCTGCTCCAACTTTACCGGCTCCCGCTTTGTCGGATCCCGAAGCGCCGGCTCCCACGATGTCGGGCTCCCGCTTTGCTGGCTTCTGAAGCGCCGGATCCCGAAGCGTCGGCTCCCACGATGCTGGCTCCCGCGACCTCGCCGAGCCATCACCAACGCTGGGCTCCCACGACGCCACGATGCTGTCTCCTGCGACGCCACGATGCCGGCTCCAACTTCGTCGTCCCCCGCTTCGCCAGCTCCAGAATCGCCGAGCTCCCTTGAGGACGATGATCCAACCGTCGAGCCTCCGCTGTCCACTGATTCGCCCAAAAAAGAAGCCGACCAAAACAAGGAGAGAAGAGAGAAGAAAGAGAAGAGAGAGAAGAAATTACTTTTGCACTGCTGATGGGAGGAGAGCCAAAAGAAGTGAGGAAATAAAAATAGAAGAGTATTTATAGGAAAAAGGGAAAAGTTAAAAAAATCTTTATTTTTTGACCTAAGAAGCAGCTCAGGAACCGTGCCATCTCGAAAATTATGCCGACCTAAAGACTTAAGTCTCGAGAACCACGCCGGGCCAATTAACCTCGAAAAATCTGTCATGTTTCGAATAAATTTTTACATAATGGATTCGGGGGACTTACTGTTGGTATTGGGCTTAAAGACCCACCAAATTGGCACAGTCCACTTATAAATATTGGGTCAACATTGAAAGAAGCTCATTGGCCAAAATCAACTCAGAGTCAACAGAAGGAAATGATGGCCCTGCCCATTTATGGAGAATAACTCGGCCCATTTGTGGAGAAAACCTGCGGATCTGACATCTAACACCGCCATTAAAGTACTATAAATAGTACAAAACCTTGATATGACAAAACATCTTTTTCTAGACTGAAAAGACGCTTTTTCTCTATTAGCGCGCTCGGCAAGTCGTTTTTCCGAAGTTGACTCCTTCCCGAGAGAAAGCAGACGTCTTTTCCACCGCTTCGATGACTTCCTTGCTAGACGACTCCTAAACTCGGATAGCAGACCGTCTCTTTTTTACTTAATTTTTTTGACGACTCCGTCTTTTACTTCTCCCTTTTGTACTTGTCTTTTCTATTGAACATCTAATAAGAGAATCTGAGAATTCCATTCCCTGCTTACTACTTACTTAGTGCGGTTACTAGAACCAACAAAACCTTTGTCGTGTTTACTATTCATTTTTCACACTAATTTCAGTTCTCTTGTCTCTCAAACAATGGATTCTTCATCTTAAGAAAGAACACCAAATTGTCTGCGAGAAGAAACCCCACTTTCAAGAAATCGTCTTTTTGTCAACAACAATGTAGCCGCAAAGAGAAACACGAATTTGGCCATGAGAGAACACACCATTCGCAATAAAGCCTACGAGCTTTCGACTATGTGCGAGATCGAAGCCTACGTGATCTATTACAGCCCTGAAGGAGAACTCATCAAGACATGGCCCGAGGATCAGTCAAAGGTCAGAGACTTAGCCGAGAGGTTTAGCAGATTGAGCGATCATAAACAAGAAGATGAACGACGAGAAGAAAATATTTTTCGAGGGTGAAGACAACAAATAAATTCTCAGGTATTACAAGATTGAAGGTTCTTTGGAAAATGCGAGATTGAAGGTTCTTTGCAAAATAAGTTGCAGATATTACAGGACAGGCTTCGGCTTCTTCAGGATCAGACACTAGAGCCTCTCCTAGAGCTTGGCATACTTCGTGGACTCAAGATCTCATCTTTGACTAGGTTTGCTATTATGTATTCGCTGAGGAAGTTTTGTTCGTAAATTAGAGTTTATAACTATGTGAAAACAGTCTCTTCTCGAGTCTTATTCGGGATTTACTAATGAAATCGCTAATTCTTCATTGTTTTCGTGCCTGATTTTAATTGTAGCTTTTGAGACGAAACAGTTAAACTAAGTTTGCTTAGTGTATTGTTCCAAGTCTGAGTTTTGAGAAAATAACCGTAACTAAACAATTATCACTAATCAAATTCTTGGTGCATTCAATTTGAAAACGATGGAAATATTCTTCTGGATTCAGTTTAGTCTGCGTTTCACTTACTATGGAATATTGTAGTATATATAAACGTAGTTGAACAGCTGAAAAATATATTCCAAAGATTGTGGTGCATCTCTTCCGGAGGAATTCATCAATCAACATTTGACATGACAAGTTGTTTTGCTCTTTTTCTTTGGAGTTAGAATTTGTCTCTCTTGATTTGACCCCAAAAAAAAAAAAATTGTCTCTCTTGAAAACTTAAAAGGGAGACTTAGGATCACAACATTGAATATATCTAACTCTTGATGAATACTATTATGAGAGTAGTTTCTGTGGTAATCGTTGATTTATACTATTATGAGAGTAGTTCATCTCTATGCTTCAGTTGACTTTGGAATAATTATGATATGTCACGCTCATCTCTGATGATATTATCATGAAGTCAACTGTTGGAATATAATTTCCATCAGGAATTTCTAGGAAATGTTGAGGAGATGGAATGTTGAAAATATTAGTCTGACTTCTGAAATTTTGACGAGAGAAAAAATTAAGAGAGATTTCTTGTTACCAAAGAGAATTTTTTTATTTCCATGAAGTTTACTCTCTCTCTTTCACTAGCAATGGCTTGTAGACTTCATCTGGTTTTGATCATCTCCTACGTTCATCTGATTTGCTTATCAAGTCAACAAGATACCGAGTTTGTCTACAATGGCTTCGATAAAGCAGATCTTTTCATCGATGGTCTGGCCAAGATCCTACCTGGTGGGCTTTTGCAGTTGACAAATACCACAGAGTTGCAAACAGGTCATGCTTTCTTCAAGCAGCCGTTTGATTTTGATCAATCTTCATCACTCTCCTTCTACACACATTTCGTGTGTGCGCTGGTGCCTCCTAAGTTAGGAGCTGATGGTGGCCATGGGATTGCTTTTGTTGTATCTCCTTCCATGAATCTCTCTCATGGATCTGCAACTCAGTTCTTGGGCGTCTTTAGCATCTCAACGAATGCGACTTCCTCTTCTCATCTGCTGGCTATTGAGCTTGATACTGTCAAGACAGTAGAGTTTAATGAGCTTGAAAAGCCTCATGTTGGGATTGATGTGAACAGCCCCATCTCTCTTGAATCTGCTCTTCCTTCTTACTTTTCCAACACGTTAGGTAAGAATATAAGCATAAATCTCTTGAGTGGGGAGCCTATCCAGGTATGGGTGGATTACGATGGTTTCTTGCTAAATGTTTCTCTGGCTCCTATAGAAATCAACAAACCAGACCGGCCTCTTATATCAAGATCCATCAATCTGTCAGAGATATTTCAAGAAAAGATGTATGTTGGCTTCTCTGCATCAACAGGGAACCTTCTCAGTAACCATTATATACTTGGATGGAGTTTTAGTAGAAGCAAAGAGCGTTTACAGAGCTTGGACCTCTCTAAACTCCCTCTTGTTCCTCTTCCTAGAGAGAAGGAAAAGAAACTATCTCCACTGATTATTGGTTTGGTCGTCCTATTGATGATCCCTATGCTGATGGTTCTTGCAGGAGTTTATGTGTATAGGAGAAAAAAGTATGCAGAAGTAAGAGAATCTTGGGAAAAAGAATATGGTCCACACAGATTCTCATACAAGTCTCTGTACAAAGCAACGAATGGGTTTAGCAAAGACTGTCGTGTTGGGAAAGGTGGTTTTGGTGAAGTCTACAAAGGAACTCTGCCTCTAAACAGAGATATAGCTGTGAAGAGACTGTCACACGATGCAGAGCAAGGAATGAAACAGTTTGTGGCAGAAGTTGTAACAATGGGAAGTTTACAGCACCGGAACTTGGTTCCTCTTGTTGGGTACTGCAGGAGGAAAGGTGAGTTGCTTCTGGTCTCTGAGTACATGCCTAATGGTAGTTTTGACCAGTACTTGTTTCATGACCAAAACCCTTCTCCTTCATGGTTGCAAAGGATCTCTATTCTTAAGCATATTGCCTCGGCTCTCAGTTACTTACATACAGGAGCCACACAAGTTGTTTTGCACCGGGATATAAAAGCTTCTAACGTCATGTTAGATGGTGAATTTAACGGAAGGTTAGGAAATTTTGGTATGGCCAGGTTTCATGACCCTAGAGGCAACTTATCTGCAACAGCCGCCGTGGGAACCATAGGTTACATGGCTCCTGAGCTAATAACAACAGGAACTTCTACGAAAACCGATGTGTATGCCTTTGGTGCTTTCCTTCTTGAAGTAACTTGTGGAAGACGACCTGTGGAACCTGAGATGCCAGTTGAAAAGAAGTATTTGGTTAAGTGGGTCTGCAAATGCTGGAAACAAGCTTCTTTGCTTGAGACCATTGATCCAAGATTGGGAAGAGGATTCTCACCTGAAGAAGTCGAGATGGTTCTGAAACTTGGCTTGCTCTGCACAAATGCTATGTCTGAACCAAGACCTACCATGGCACAAGTGGTGCAATACCTAAACCGAGACTTACCCTTGCCGGATTTCTCACCGGATACTCCAGGTATTGGAGCTTTTATGCCGGTTTCAATGGTAGCAGAATCTGCAATTGAGGTCCCTAGTGTAAGAAACTCATCATTTTCTATGTTTGTTACTCACACGATCTTGGACGGGCATGGAAGATGAGTTCTATAAACAACCTGTGTATGTTGTGCATCTAAATCTGTTGTTCCTTAAAAGCATTAACTATGTTGTTGATTGATGCTTATTGTCTTTGTAAGCAAGCGTTGTAATAAAACTAACATACTACTCAAAAACTGTTTATCTATTACAAACTATGTTTACCATAAATGAAAAACCAAAAAGAGATCAAAATGAACAGTTAAACAAATCAACTTACTACATTATTCCTTTTTCTTTGGAGAAAAAAACAGAAATCAAATTAGAATGAAGACTTATCTCTCTCTCTCTCTCTGTCTATATAACCTATGATTTGGAGAAAAAGTTCACAAATCATCTGATCCAAAAACAAACTTCTCTCTACTACACAAAAACAATATAATGTCACTGTCAAGGCCTGAAGTAACCAAAAATTTCTCATCTTTATTCACCAGAAACTCCGAGGTATCAATGACGACCATCTTGATTCTTTACCTGACTCAGAAACAGATCCATACCTTCGAGACTTATGAATCCTCATTTTAACACCAGGAACTTTGCGTGCAATCGCTCGCCATATCATCTGAACTGCATCATCTACCTTCGACGGGAAATGAAACTCGTAGAACTTCTCCACTTCCTTCAATCTCTCCCACATCCGTGTCCATTCCTCTTTTGTGATTCCCCTTATTAAGTTAACCAGAAAGTTCTCTTTCAATGCATCAGAGGTGCGAACGAACACCGAGAACTCAGAGTAATCAATAACGTCCTCAAAAGGAAGCTCAATCTCGTCACTGATTATCACAGGCACACAGTGACTAGCGATGGCGTCAAAGAGACGGTTTGATGAAGGAGTGTCTCCGGCGATGTTGAGGCAGAACTTTGAGTTGTGCATTCCCTGGCTCGCTTTGTTTATCCCTCCGTTTCTCACACTCCCAAACGAGAAATGAACATCTTTCTCATCTTGCAAGAGGTAGAACAATTCTTGACGCACAAACCCTCCCTGAGATTATAATAACACAATGAAGCAAATCATAATCAGTGTTTGATCAAAAGGACACTAACTTGTAAATCTGATTTGTGAAGAACAATAACAGAACACAAGCACAAAAGCGAGGCAAGAGGAGAACTCACATCCTTCCTGTAGATGGCACCTTGAAAGTAAAGCAGAATGGTTCTGCTATCGAAACCAGAAGTATCGTTTTCGTATGCTTTGATGACATGCTTATAAGGAGCGATGACATCTTTCTCAACGTTCGCCACAGTAGGAGGGTACCTTCCAAAGTCAGAGAGTATAAACATAGCAGGAAACAGATTGTTTCTTGCATCCAACATGCTATTCGGATGATGAGCAAGAACCACATGGTCTCTACCACCAGATCTCTTCCACTCCTCTTGAGCAGTCAAGAAAGCAACCAGCTTCCTCTGCAAATCCTTGTTCTTGCTGGTCTTCTGGTGAGGATTCACTTTAGAGAACCTGTTATAGCTCAGCGAGGAGAAGAACGGGACGAAGATCACATCGGCTTCACTGGAGTTATGAACCCTTTTCGCAGCGAGAGCTCTCGGTGCGTTTGGATACTCAGATGCAAGAAGATCCAACGTGAGCCAATACTCGATGCTGTGTTGCAAGTTCAAGCCTCCAGGGTAAGGAGGTATGTACTTTTGAATATCAGGCCATACACTGTTACTCTTCTTCTCAGGTTTCCACTCTAACAATCCGAAATGAAACTCGGGATCCATGTCGTACATGTAAACCTTAAGAGGAGCGTTTGCTTTCTCATCGTTACTACATTGACAATTCTCTTTCTCTGGCTTTACCTCTTTCGCATTCACATCATCGACGAACGATTTCGAAGGAAATGTTGAGCTAAGGAATCGATTGTGAGCAGTGGAACGCAACACGAAGTAACAAGAGAGAGCGAAGAGGATCGTTGTGACGACGAATAAGCAGAGCAATAGATTCCGAGCTACATACCCGATTGTAGAACCATTCTTCTCCACCATTGCCATGAGGAATCAATCACAAAGGAGGATCAAAAGTTTATGATGAACATTGTACCCCCACCGAAATTAGGGCTTCTACGACACATCAATCGGCTCGATTCGCGGAAATTGCACGATTAAGTTCCTGCGAGGCTTGCTCGATTCCTCCAAAGACGATCTGCTTTTGAGATCGACACGAAACTTTGAGGATGACGAAGGAAAGGAAAAGTCGCGTTTTTACGAACTGAAAGTAAGATGATGAATGCGAGAAAGAGCGATTTGAGTGCTAAGAGAAATGTGGAAGAAGCTTCTCTGAGAAGAATTTCATCTTCTCATGGAGCGAGAGAATGCGGCGGAGAAGAAGGAAGAATAAACGGTGTTAAAAGCGTCAGGGATCGTCAAATTTCCTATAATTAAACTCCTTTAATTAACTTTGAAATTAATATTAATTTCCAAATTTTAGTTTTTGTTTTGGTATGTATATGCTTCGTAGACGACTACTGTAGATGGGTAGACCCAACAATATTTAAAGTACATTTATTGTTAGAAACAAAAATAATTAGTGTAATTAAAAAAGATGGGACCAAGTTTGGGCCAAACAATTATAGTATGAAGCAGTATTTTGCTTTTTGGTCGGCCAGTATGAAGAAGTTAATACCTAATTACGAGCAGGTCGTCTGGAATCTGGATCAGCCCATAAGAATAGAGTTTTGGATATTAATTTCTTAAGAAAAAAACTATTATTTGGAAATTGTATGATTTCATATATAAATCTCAATCATGCATTTATTTTTGTAAGTGTAGAAATCATTTCAATGTTTATTTTGGAGAAGCATGTAATGTCGGATATTTTCGAGTAATTTTGGATTGTTTTGAATAATTTTGGTAATTGCCAGATCAGTTTCTCAACCATCACAGTGAATTATCTTTGAGTCAAACGGGAAAAAGTCTATTTAACTTACTGTACCTAAAAACCCCGGATAATTTGGGTACGGTCGACCCGAACCGAAGTGTTAGACATTGGATCGGTTCATGTAATGTGTTTGATGAAGAGACTTTGACCGGATGCTTGTTTAGCACGTGACCCCATTTCCTCTTCCCATGGACTCGGAACTCAAGTACTCAACATACCTTCGTCTCCAAAGTCGTATAGTTGCAGAATCTTTGCCTTTTCAAGACGTTTCATGAATGTCTTTAAACCAATAATTGTTTGTATTGAGAGTATTTTCACTTTAATATTATTCGACTTGACATTGTTAAAACGAGATTACGTAGACTGTAGACCATTTACTTTTTCAAAGAAGAATTTAGTAGATTTTTAAACGAAGAAAATTATTATTTTTAGAGTAACTATCACGGTTATATGTATTAAAAAGTCTAAAGTCAACTAATGCTTAGAGGGAATATTTTTTCTTGGACTTGGAACATCGAAAATTGGGTTTGAAATCGTTCCTTTATATCTCAAACTTGTGATTATCGAAACCAAGAAAAATCTAAAGAAGCTTTGTCTCCTTCTTTTTTTCCATTACCAAATGGCTCAAAGATTGCATCTTCTTCTCTTTGTACACTTTTTTTCTAAACTTCTTTGCTTTTCAAGTCAACAAGACTTCAGTTTCGTCTACAATGGCTTTAACCAAGGTCAAGCCGACCTTAACCTTGACGGGGCCGCAAGATTCCAAAACTCAGATGGATTGTTGCAGCTAACCGATGCAACGGCTCAGAAAATGGGTCACGCTTTCTTCAACAAACCATTCGATTTCGGTTCAGTTCCATCTCAATCTCTCTCTTTCTCGACTCATTTCGTTTGCGCTTTGGTTCCTAAACCAGGAGCTGATGGTGGTCATGGGATTGCCTTTGTTCTATCATCTTCAATGGATCTCACACAAGCAGATCCAACTCAATACTTGGGTCTCTTCAGCATCTCAACTAACGGATCTCCTTCTTCTCAGCTTCTAGCTATCGAACTTGATACAGTCCAGAGCGCAGAGTTTGACGACATCGACAAGAACCATGTCGGTATAGACATCAACAGCCTCCACTCTAATGTCTCTGCTTCAGCTTCTTATTATTCCGACAGAAAAGGGACGAACAAAAGCTTGACACTCTTGAGTGGAGCTCCTTTACAGGTATGGGTTGATTATGAAGATTCTCTACTCAATGTTACATTAGCTCCTCTAAGAAACAAGAAGCCAAGTAGGCCTCTTTTGTCAAGAAACATCAATCTCACAGAAATCTTCCCGGGTCGAAAAGCGTTTGTCGGGTTTTCTGCAGCAACTGGTTCATTGATCAGTTATCAATACATCTTGGGGTGGAGTTTCAGCAGAAGCAGAGTTTCATTACAGAGTCTTGACATCTCTAAACTTCCCACTGTTCCTCGTCCCAAGATAACAAAGAAAACATCTCCTCTGCTTATTGTTCTGTTGGTTATACTCGCGCTCGTAGTAACGGCCGTTCTCGGAGGAGTTTGTGTGTACAGAAGAAAGAAGTACGCAGAAGTTAAAGAGCCATGGGAAGAGCCGTACGGTCCACTTCGTTATTCCTACAAATCTTTATATAAAGCAACAAGAGGGTTTAACAAAGATGATCGTCTTGGACAAGGCGGTTTTGGAGAAGTCTTTAAAGGAAACCTTCCTCTTGTAGGAGGTATAGCGGTGAAGAGACTATCACACGATGCAGAGCAAGGGATGAAACAGTTTGTTGCTGAAGTTGTGACAATGGGAAGCTTAAAGCACAAGAATCTGGTTCCTCTTCTAGGATATTGCAGGCGAAAAGGCGAGTTATTGCTTGTCTCTAAGTACATGGAAGGAGGTAGTGTCGATCAGTACTTGTTTCACAGTGATAAACCGCCTCTTTCTTGGTCTCAAAGGCTAGCGATTTTGAGAGATATCGCGTCTGCGCTCTGTTACTTGCATACAGGAGCTAGTCATGTTGTTTTACACAGAGATATCAAAGCTTCTAATGTCATGTTGAATGGAGATTTACAAGGGTTCCTAGGAGATTTTGGGATGGCTAGGTTTGATGATCATGGAGCTAACCTCTATACAACAGCAGCTGTTGGAACAATTGGTTACATGGCGCTTGAGCTAACGTCAACAGGAACTTCAACAGGAACCGATGTGTATGCATTTGGTGCATTCATGCTTGAGGTAGCGTGTGGGAGGAGACCATTTGATCCAGAGATGCCTGTTGAGAAACGACATTTGGTCAAATGGGTTTTTGAATGCTGGAGAAAGGGTTCTCTAGTTGATGCTATAGATACAAGATTGGGAAGTAAGTTCATACCTTGGGAAGTAGAAATGGTTCTGAAACTTGGGTTGTTATGTACAAGCATCGTGCCAGATTCAAGACCAACAATGGAGCAAGTGGTGCAGTACATAAACATGCACCAAACGTTGCCTGATTTCTCTCCGGATACTCCTGGAGTTGGAGTTTCTACGCCGGTGTTAATGGGAGTACCTTCTTTGGGAATCAATTTCTCTTCAGGGTTTTCATCAGCATCACCACCATCAGTTTCTTCTTCCTCTGCTAACAACTCAATGTTCATCTCTCACACAATCATTTATGGTGATGGAAGATGAAAATTAAAATTACTTTTTGTTACATTCTTTGGCTTCTGATTAAAACCATTATTCATTTCTTTGCCAGCCTAGTCTAAATAGACAATATTAATAAAAAAAAAAATTTATTAAATTTTTTTATTCTTTGTCTGATCGTTTACAGCCATTGGATTTTACAACACGATCTTCGTTCAAACAAACTATTTCGTAGTTAGAGTAGAAAGGGAAACAAACATCTTTGGACAAATAGGAAGGCAAACAATTTTGACTGCTCATACGCCAATATCGAGACTTCTTGTTGTTCAGGTTGTAGAGACCAAGTCGACAAAACCCCGCCACTGAAACGACGTCGTTACTGGGAAACCATAGAGGTTTTGCGTATCTATCATCCAGCCCAGTAATTTCCAGACCCTTCACATTTGTCCACAATTTTCCTAAACTGTTGTCCAAAACCCATAAAGCAAATCCTTGTCTCGAAGTCGAACACATCACACCTAGCTTTCCTTCGTAGCTGACCAATTCTATATAACCGGATACGTCTAGTACATCTTCTGGAACCGGGATAAGAGACCAAGTTTTGGTTTGTACACAGAACCGAATCACATTTTTTTTCCTAGTTAACCAATGCAGACAACCGTAAGCTGATACGGGCTGATCTGATCTAATAAAACACTCGTCCGGTAATTCCAAATCATTCAACCGCTCCCATGTGAATGAATCAGAATCAAAAACCTCGCAATTGAGGTTAAAGAAGCCATCCTTCATCTTCCTTCTTTCCCACGGCAATGGCTGAGAAACCCTAACGATCTTATAGCGAAACGGGTTCGACTGAATCGCCATCAAACCGGTCGCAACAGTGAAATACCGGGTTTTTGGGTTTGGTATGATCCGGTATTGTTTTGTAGCTGGTTTACAAACGATGTAATCTGGTATTCTTTTCCCTCCTTTAAATTTATCATCGACGCATAGCAAAATCCCATGATTTGTATCGCAAGCTTCGATCTTTACATCTTTCGAAGGAAGAAAGTCGAGCGAGATTCTGGTTTTCTCTGGAGCTTCTTCTTCTTCTTCAACGCTGGAGACAAAACGGGGACGATACTTTTTGTAGTCTTGAATAAAATAACCTAAAACGGAATTGGTTCTACGAAGATGATTATTGATGAAGCAAGACTCGTAAGTTCGTTTGTTGGACGATTGGTTTAGTAAACGGAATTTCGAAATCTCCGTTGAAGGACAACGAGAGATGATCTCGAGAAGCACGTCGTCGTTCATCGTGGATGGAGAGGTTATCATAGAGAGTTTTTTTATAGAAAATATATTGTTTTTGGAACGATCAGAGGAAAAGAAAAAGTTTTCGTATCTGAAAAGTTGATGAATATTTTTGATTATTAGCTTTTCCACAATTCTCTATATATAGACTGATTTGTTGCCGACCAATCCAAATTCGTAATTTGTTAAGGACAAGGAAACTTGAGGAACAAGATTTACTCTTCCTCGTTGCGATTTCCCAGAAAAAAAGGAAAAACGAACAACATTAATTTACATTTTTCATGTTTCTTTCCTTTTTACTTTACCGATATGATGATTAGTGTTAAAAATCCACAAAATAATGAAAATTACCATTTTAGATAATAATGTTTTTTTATACTTACGCCGGATAAACCGTATTGTATATCACGTCGCCATACACGTTACGTTTTCAATTATTGACGCCAAAAAGAAACCAATAAATAATCGCCACGTGTACTGCTGGGTCCCGCAGCAACAGAAATCAAATCTCGAGGGGAGCGATAGAGATATTTTATCTCCCTCCATCTTCTTCCTCCTCCTCAATCCTCACAGTGCTTTCACTTTACACTCACGCAGAAGCATTGTGAGAATAAAAAGAATCAGAGAGAAGACATGTCTCTAAGACTAATTATATCTTCGGCGATCCTGTTGGTTCTCGTTGCGGCGGCGACGGCGGAAGAGATTGGATTCGATGAATCCAATCCAATCAGAATGGTCTTCGATAGTCTCCGGGAAGTTGAGGAAACGGTCGTCGAGATACTAGGCCAGTCTCGCCATGTTCTCTCCTTTTCTCGCTTCGCTCACCGGTAATACTCTCATTTTCAATTATTAGCCCTTGACTTAATTTGAAAATTTGAATTTACAATTCGGTGATGAGAGAAATTTTGGGTTATGAAGGTATCGGAAAAGGTATCAGAGCGCGGAGGAGATGAAACTCCGGTTCTCGGTTTACAAGGAGAATCTCGGTTTAATCAGATCCACCAATAAGAAACGCTTACCTTACAAACTCTCTCTTAATCGTAAGCTTCTCTTCTTTTTTCCGCTTTGTCTTAAATAGAAACTGAGGAAAGAGGACACTGCTCTGCTTTTTTAGGCTTTAAGTTGGCTCACTTCAAGATTGTTTCACCTTCCTTGTGGTATCATTTTTCTATACAGAATTTGCTGATTTGACATGGCAAGAGTTTCAAAGACAGAGTCTTGGAGCTGCTCAAAACTGTTCTGCCACTTCGAAGGGAAGCCACAAGCTCACTGAAACTCCACTTCCAGAAACAGTAACCATCTTCAGATCTTCTTGATATAGAAAGTTTCCTGTTTTGTCTGAGTCTGAGTTTCGACTTTCGAGACTGTGTAATTGCAGAAAGATTGGAGAGAAGATGGTATTGTTAGCCCTGTCAAAGAGCAAGGACATTGTGGATCTTGCTGGACATTCAGGTAAAACATCTCTGAAATATTCAGAGACTTCTTGATGTAAGCATGAATCTCTGATCCAAAACTTTATAACTTCAGCACGACGGGAGCTCTTGAGGCAGCTTACCATCAGGCATTCGGAAAAGGGATATCTCTGTCAGAGCAACAGCTTGTGGACTGTGCTGGAAAGTTCAATAACTTTGGTTGTAATGGTGGACTTCCTTCACAAGCCTTTGAGTACATCAAATACAACGGTGGGATCGACACAGAGGATGCTTATCCTTACGCTGGCAAAGACGGTGGCTGCAAATTCTCAGCCGAAAACATCGGTGTACAAGTCCTTGACTCTGTCAACATCACTCAGGTACGTACAGACTCATTTTGAAGTTTTAGTTCACTCTTAACTTTCACAAATGTTCACTTCTCTTTTAATATGTAAACAAAACAAAAAAAAATACCAAATAGGGTGCAGAAGATGAACTGAAGCACGCGGTTGGGTTAGTAAGGCCAGTGAGTGTTGCCTTTGAGGTTGTACATGACTTCCGGTTTTACAAGAAGGGTGTTTATTCTAGCAATACTTGTGGAAGCACTCCAATGGTGAGCTTTTTTCTTCTCTAAATGTTACATTAAACCAACAGAGATTCGGTTTTTGGTAATTAAACCGGGGTTTTGGTGGGAACAGGATGTAAACCATGCTGTGTTAGCAGTTGGTTATGGAGTTGAAGATGGAGTCCCGTACTGGCTTATAAAGAACTCATGGGGAGGTGATTGGGGAGATGATGGCTACTTCAAGATAGAAATGGGGAAGAACATGTGTGGTAGGTTCTTTTAACCAGCTTTGATTTTGATTTAGGTCTTTCTTAATTTAGCAAAAAAATAAATAAATTCCGAAACCAAATTTGTTTCTCCCATTGATTTTTTTTTTTTTGCTTACTTTGGTTTTGGCAGGTGTTGCAACATGTTCATCGTACCCGGTTGTGGCGTGAGGGTTTCAATGTGTGACTAACTTGGTCACATAGAGCAAATGGCTTATTTGATATACGAAATAATGTTGTGAAAGTAGTTTTTATAAATTCATATAGTGCTTAGAGTTTTTCGTTAACGCAAAAATGAGATTTCAAAATAAACGTCAGTTGCAGAAGCTCTGCATTTTGTTATTTCTTTCTATATCTATACAGACAATAATAATACAATGCTTGTTCGGTTAAATCTTATTTACCTTTTAACTTTAACTAGATGAGTTCATCAATCGGATCGTCATGAGATCTTGATCTTCTGTGTTTGTAATTCTCAATTCATGTAATATATAGGATCATTCAGCTTACACTCTCTCTCTATTTCCATCCTCACTCTATCAAGCGTCTACTGGCTATATATTATACAATCAAATGGAAAAGGCTTAAATCGTTAACCGGGGAGAATGAGATTACATGGCCCACTAGGCCCAACGGATCGTATCAGATGTAAGGACAGGTTTTCTCAGACTCTGAGCGTGTTGGAAGGTTTCCTCAAAATGACAAAGAGCCTCTTTGTGAGCCTATCGAATGTTAAATACATATTGATTAGGTTTTGGTTTCTCTCAGTAGAAAATAAGGCCAGCAGGATTTGCAAAATGAACATAAAATAATAGAGTATTAAACTAGTAAGAAGAGACTAAAGAGGGCGGGACGTGGTATAAAATCCCAAAAGAGAAATACAATCACACTTCTTCCTCAGGATCCTGTTTGCACAAGCTTCTTCTCAGCCACTTTCCCTCTCTTGCGCGTGCGATAGAGCACATAAACAAAATCATGCAAATTCCTCTTGTCATATGATATTTGAATAGATCACTCAAAGATGATCGAATACTATGCAAACAAACATGTTGAGCAAAAAAGCCAAATCTAAAAACTAAAAATCAGCTTCCAAATATAAAGAAAACAAGACTCCTATGGAATTTCTAAGAGAGTATTTTAGGTAAACAAAAAAGGATCCACATATGTATCACGAACCAGACAAAAATCTTACCAAAACTGATCAATGTAGAGTTGAAAGAACTTAGTTATAAGGAATTTACGAGTCTCAACTTTGTATTGAGATTGTCTTCATCTTTTACTAGCTTCCTTTTTTCTATCTAATAAGCTATGTAATTGCTGCTGTCTTTTATCTTTGTAAGATATAAAAATACCATATTGGTTTTGTTCAGGTTTTGTTCAAAAAAGAAAAAAAAAACGCCATATTGATCAGCTTCAATTGCTCTAGCTCTTAGTCTCTTTAGAGATTTCTTATATTGATCAGTATTGAAGACACTTATGACACCATAATATTATTAAGAGTCAAACAAAAAAGAGACATGCCGAGAGAAGCAAAATGTATAGGTTCAATACACATTTTAAGAGTCATAAAAATTCCACTTCTAAGTATAATTTTCCATGCATTTTAAGGCTATTACGTCTAAAATGGTTGGCAAGTCTAAAATGAATGTGATCATTGCACAATTCTTTTGTTTCTTATAATGGATTGTCAACATTAAGAAATGTTTGGAATAACTCTACATGCTCAAGACCATGCAAAGTTAGAATCAACGTTTCGCTTCTTATTTTTAGATATTATATATGGGTCTTTGAAAATACAAATACAAATAAAAATAGTAATAGTACAAATCCACTTTGAAAATATATAATACATATCGGTTAATGATACAAATACAAATACAAATACTGATGACAAAACAGTATAATAGTAATAATACACATCGGTTAATGATACAGATACTGATGATCTCCCGTTGATACTTGATAGAAAGAACTTACCAAAATATCGACATGGATCACTTTAGAAGAGTAATCTAAAATATCTACATGGGCAGGAGCGGATCCAAAATCAATATTTGTATGGGGCACAAATAAAATTATATTTAAGAAATATATATAATATTTATTTCTTAATTAATATATAGAAGTAGTTTTAAAAATATTTTGTAAACCCAATCCAAATCGTATAATTACTAAAAAGTATTATTGATTTATTAGAATATATGTGTATCATGATATTGATATATTACATACATGCATGTTAATAATAAAACAACAACAACAATGTATAAAAGAATTGAAAAAAAAAATTAAAATGCTATCAAGAACAGAAAAGAAAAAAATAAGATAAATAAGAGAAAATGTGGTAAATCAAAATAAATAACAAAAGTTTGATATTTAACTAAAAAAAATTAAGAATCGAACTCTGCACCTAAGAAACCTGTATACACATAATAACAAATTATTTCAACCATTGCATTACTTGTGATAGTAAATAGAAAACTTTATAAATTAGTATGGGGTACTTGCCACAACTTTTACAATGTAGATCCGCCCCTGTACATGGGTTATTCGTGATTTGTATCTAAATTAGTCTCTTTTTAATTGGATGGATCATGCATGTTTCACAGTTTACTTAAACAACGCTCCATTTTTTTCTAAAAATCTGACGATTCAATCAATTCCATTATTCGTTAACAAACCATCAAAAAAGAAGAATGAGAGAGTTCAAATAGATAATAAAAAAAAACCATAAAAGCTCTAGATAAAAATATATAACATGGAAGCTTTCTTCCGCCGAATATGGAGAGTTGATGCATCAGAGAGAGTACGGGTGTTCTTATGGTCAGTTGGCAACCAAGTGATTATAACAAATGCTGAGAGGAAGAGACGGCACATGGTAGACTCGGATGTCTGTCAAGTGTGCAAGGGAGGGATCGAAACAATAATGCATATACTCAGAGATTGCCCCGCAATGGCAGAGATATGGATTAAGCTTGTCCCGATGGGGAAGAGACATGTTTTTTTCTCCTCATCTCTTCTTGAATGGTTATATGGGAATCTATGCGAAGAGGGGCTAGTTAACGAAACACCGTGGACAACTCTGTTTGTGATGGCGGTCTGGTGGGGATGGAAGTGGAGATGTGGTAATCTATTTGGAGAGAATGGAAAATGCCGAGATAGAGTGAAGTTTATCAAGGACCTAGCCATGGAAGTGTTCTTGGCGAAAAAGAGAAATAAAGAGCACAACGCACCGAGGACTCGCGCGGAAAAAATGATCGGATGGGAGGCTCCTAGTACGGGATGGCTTCAGTTAAATACGGACGGAGCTTCGCGGGGGAACCCTGGGTTTGCAGCTGCAGGAGAGATACTACGTGACGAGAATGGGCATTGGCGGGGAGGCTTCGCTGTTAACATCGATCGATGTACGGCACCGTTGGCGGAGTTATGGGGGTCTACTATGGCTTATACATTGCCTGGGAGAAAGGAGTTCAGAGGTTGGAAGTAGAAGTAGACTCGGCTTTGGTGGTGGATTTTATTAAGACAGGAATAAGCAACTCACATCCGTTGTCGTTCCTGGTACGGCTGTGCCACGGCTTCATAGCAAGGGACTGGATAGTCCGCTTCAATCACGTGTATAGGGAAGCTAATCATCTGGCAGATGGATTAGCAAACTATGCGTTTTCTCTCCCTCTGGGTTTTCATGCTTTAACTTTGGTTCCTGCTAGCTTAGACTCGATTTTAAGAGATGATGAGAATGGGGTAGTGTACCCGAGACAAGTTTGTATGGTTGAGTTGGTTGTGCGTGTTTGCTTTTAATAAAACTCAGGGTTATCCCCGAAATTCATACCAAAAAAAAAAATATATATATAACAAACTGAAGCACATAAATTAACTTATATATTGTAGTCAAACAGCAGTACAAACTTGAAAACACACGCACACAGCGAAAAACAGGAAAAAAAATAAAAATAGTAATTAATACAAATCCACTTTGAAACAACTTCGTAAACAGACGATTACTAATTTAGTAATTTCTTATAAGATCTCTATTTCTCTATTTGAGTTGATTGATTCCTCTAAACACCTTCGAATAAAGTCATAGTCAAAGTCACGAGCAGCCAAATAAGGGATAAAGTTATGGTCTTTATCTGAAAAGCCACCAAGCAGGCTCAAGCTTCCTGTACGCTCATCTATCAGTCTTCTGATTATAGCTTTGTGTTCCAAATGCTCGCTCATCCCGCTAATGGCCAAACCCTTAAAGGTTATGTACACAAATGCACTTTTGGCTTTGCGTCATTCATTCATAGATTATATCGCCACTTTGACAATCTGCAACTTGGAGAGACTCTGCAACAACAACCATATTCAAACAAAACCGTCTTGATTATCAATATCAATCATAGGCATGTCTACATCAATCATAGCATAACAATCATAAGAGAAGAGAAAGAATACTTACGGCTTTGTCTACATGATCAGAAAAACAAACTTGAAGTTGCAAATATATACCAATCCAATCAGTGTTTCACAACTCTAATTCACCCACCTGCAAAAGTAATAGAAGATCACGAGGAAAATTAACAAAAAAAACAAGACAAAAATATGATCTTATATCTTAATCATACCAAATGAAACCGTTTGTTTACGGCCACTCAAGCAGCTTGTAGCATCCGTATCTGAGAGAATTCAAAATGATCGTACCGGACAGGGCATTATCCGAGGAATAATCGAGCCAAGGGTCGGATATTGGCTGGGAAATGGAGGTTCAGACTATGGTCGGGTGATGACAGAGGGAATAGTCAGATGGTTGGCTGGATAGCCGAGCCGGACGGACCATATCCGAGGGAAACAGGGTCCAGTCCGTGGGAAATGGGATTTATCCCGGGGCAGTGGGATTTATCCGAGAGTCTGGGAGGTTGGTCCGAGTGTCAGTGGACTGTCTCCGAAGGAGAAAGGGAAACCTCCGAGAGAAATAGAGGATTAGCCGAGGTGGGACAAGTTGTCCGAGAGAAATAGGAATATCCGGGTGAAAAATGGAAAATATCTCGGATAAGGACGGTTTATCCGAGTGGGAAGGGATTTGGGCCGTGGGCCAAGTGTTTGGTCGGCTATTTTGTGGTTTATCGAGGGAATGGTCAAGCCGGTACAGAAAATAGCCGAGAGAATCGAATCGGACCGGGATAAAACTTACTGGAACCAGGAAAACGTCGGATAAGTTCGGGTTATCTAGGGTTTTACGAGTTTATAAGGGATTTTGAGACTTTTCTCGGGCGAGTTGTGTTTATTCGAGAGCAATAAAGCAAATAAAGAGAATAGTCGAGAGAAAACCCTAAGAAAAACAGTTTATCCCGAGGACATCCGAGAGAGATCAGGTTATCGCCGAGCAGATCCGACCATCGCCGAGATAAATTGGTAAGCGATCGGATATTTTCCTA